TATAGATATACATCAAAATGTATGCAATCCGTTCAATGCAAGCAGCGAAGGAGCGTGGGCTGTTCTCTCTCCACATACCGGCAAATCACGCCCTCGGTACTGGCCTAACACAGGTAAGCGAGCGGCAACGCCGCGCTTGATTAAGTTTAAACGTGTGTAGTTCTATGTGTTAGATTGTCTCCAACAGGAGACTCATTAGGAGACCAAATCTAAAATGAATCTTCAACAGAATACATATAGCATTCAACAGATTGCCTATATGAAAGATCTATTTTGGGTGTCAGGAGAGGTATAACCTAAATCTAAGTATCCTCTCTCCTGGAAACCTGTTCGTAGAAAGGGTTCTCTTTTGGGTCTTGTTGTTGGAGAAGATCGAAAATGGATATTGAACCTTTTGCATGTAGCGCTACCAAAACGCGGAATGGGTCATATATTTTGGGTAACCGTTGTTGAAGACAGTCTTACACATGTTTTTTTAAGCACTCAAGCAGTACTTGCATGCATGGCGATCATGTTGAACTGTCGCTAACAGCTGAGCAAGCACAACGTATACGACCCTTTTTTGAATTAATTAAAGGTGGTGGGTGGCAGCTTGTGAATCCAGCTGCAAGTTGAATTGAAAGAGTTTAACTTGAAAATTAAAAATTAAAATCATAGGGCAAATTAAAGATCATACAAAAGTTTCTATAAAAATATGAGGGTGGAAAATTGAAACTGAAAAATTGGATGTATGTAGGGCAAAGATCGGCGGTAGCTTAATGCGCTGAGTTGATTTCTGGGTCTCGCAGTTGGAGGAACAACCGAGGGTTGATGCGTTGTGTGGTCTATAGCAAATTGGTTTGCATGCAGATATGCAAAAAAGTAGCAGGCGTCATGGTCCTCGACTTCGCATGCACCTGTCCATCCTGACTGCACGGGTTCGTGACGGGTTTCGTAGTTCACTCTGTTGGGTCGGTTCTAAGCGGGCTAAGCCCATTGGTATGACGGCGAGCAGTGTGATTTGGCCTTGAAGGGGGCGGGCCGACGGATTGCTAGCGACCAGAGAGAGAGAGAGGCGTCTCAGCGCCTCGGCGGCAGTGCGAGACGGGGAAGCCGACAACCATCCAAAGGTCGGCAGCGTTGCGGTTTGGTTCGGGCGAGGACGGCTGGTGCGACGGCGCACGGCAGACAGCCAGAGCGATGAGCGGAAGAGCATGGATGCTGCCTGATTCACCTGTGATCCATCCGCAGATGAGAACGAACCATATCACCGGCGTGCAGTGCTTGACGATGAGAAGAGTAACAGCGGAAGGCCGGATGCGACGGTTCAGCGCGTGCATGGCCTCCACTTCGCCTGGCCAACGAGAGATGCGGCCGTCTTTTTTTTTTTGAGACCGATCCCACTGCCCCTTTGGTATGGATTGCAGGGTAGATTCTCTGGCAGACAAAATCCGTTTTTCTCTCTCATCCCCTTCTCTCTCGGTGACACGCAAGGAACTGCTGGAGCCAAAATCTTCAGCTTCACTATCAGCTCTATGAAATGAAGAGGAAAGAGAGAGGAAATCAGCTCTAGTGAACAGTAGTGCTATAGTGAAAATTGCAGTGGGAGCCGGAGCTATCAGAATCTCTACCAAAGGGGCCTAAGGCTTAAGAAATCTATGGACGACCCCCTCCCCCCTCTCTTTTTAGGTGTAGAAGAGTAGAAGATAGATTGAGCTATAGAAATGCAGTCCTATGCAATATTTCCTTGCCTTTCCTGTGAACCAAAGGGAAGCGTAGACAAAAAATCCAAGTAAGTTGAACCCTACAAAATTACTTTCCCAACCCTCCAATCCAAAGGGGCCCTAATTTTAGTAACATTTCATACTCTGTGGTCTTATATCTCTTATAAAGCAAAACCATTCTATCCTGCACCACAAGGTTCCGCGTCATCACTTGCCTCTCCATCTCTTTCCCGTATTAGTTTCCACCGAAACACCTCTAATTGGACCAAACACCTTTTCCTTGCAACTCAGGCCACGCCAGCCCAGCCATGAATTCAAGTCCGGATCCAAGCAAATGAAGAGGTTGAGTCGTATAAAAAAAATCCAAAGTTGAATCCTACAAAATTCCCCGGGATCCCCGCGGCCATCAGCCGGTCCTGGCGATTCGTGGTGGTGAGGCAACTCCGGAAGAAGCCGCTGAGCTCCTCCCTGATGTAGTGATGTCCCTATACGCCTTCTCTGTCCACGACTGGTCATCCGGCAGGAGCCCCGGTTGGTACGGCCGCTTCGCTTGCGGGCGGCAGCGGGTGCTCATCCGTGTCGTCCGTCGCCTCTAGCAGCGTCGCGAACGTGAGTGAGCTCAGGCAGAGGAGCAAGGTCAGGAGCGCGCCAGTCAGTAGCGCTGTCTCCTTCCGGTGGCCGGCGGTGGCAAGCCGCTGCCCCGCTCACGGGGACGCAACTTTTGCTCGCCGCGACCATGAGAGGAGATTAGGACAAGATGAAGTTTTGGAATCCAAATTTTGGGGAGCTATTCGAGTTGCAACTCTTTTTTTTCTCCCAATATGTTTTGCAAAGGTTGGAAAATCAGTTTTTTAGGAGTAGTGTTTTTTTACTCTCGGAGATGCTCTCACTCTCATATATTGTATGTAGCAGCAAAAAGCAAATCACTTTTTCCTTCCAATCTCCTGTAGTTCTGTTTAGCCTCATCGCCGGCCCCTCCCACGCACCACTGCATTTGGACTTTTTCCCTATTGCTTGTGATCCCCATTGGAGTTCTACGGCCTATTCGCTGGTTGGTTTCTGCGCTGATAAGTCTTGCTGGTGCTAGTTTGTTGTGAGAGAAACACTGTTGGCTGACTGATAAACCCTGACTGAAACCAATAAGCGAACATGCTGCTAATTTCTTCCGAAAACATGCTGAATTCGTGAAATGGCAAAACAGGTTGATCGTTGATCCTCGCCTCCGTATGGCTCCACCTCCCTCGGTTGGAGTATTACGATTTGCCTATTGGGTCTCACCGCTGCACTTAGGAGATCCTAATGAGGTTTGTCCACAATCTTCTTCTCCTTCACCTCTATGTTCTTTTAGGTTTCTATCTAATTTCTTTTGAATATAATCAATTTCCTTTTGTTAAGATATTTTCTATGTTAACATCCACGCACACGGTGCATGCCTGGTTTCCCTTTTCCCCTTCATTTGAAGTCCTAATCACCTTAGCTTCTTCCTTTGTGGTAGAAATATGTCAGTTTCGTCTTCTTTTTTCTCCGGTATAGGTACTGTAGGAGGTAGCACAAGCAACTAAGAAAACATTTCGATAGTTATGGACAACGCTTCTCTAAGACATTTAACATTTCAGTTTCATCGTATATGTACCAGAAGTTCGGATATAGATAGATCCATGTTCGAGTCTCACTATGTCAAATTACCCCATATGCCTGAGACTAAGGAAAAGAAACATATCTGTAAGACCCTATTATAATTTTTTCACGCATGTGTTTGTACACAAACTTTTAACTTCATATTTCTAGGGAAGAGCGGACAGAATAACCTACCTATTTAGTATTTATCCTTCACGTTGCAATTTCAGCTCTAAATTCCGCGACAACGCGCGGGGGATTCATCTAGTATCTAAAAATGCACACAATAACTAGCAGATTTCACCATTCAAAAAAACAATGAGATTCCAACACGAATCTCTCTCTTTTTAAACATGGCATGTGTTGACGTATCTGCGCTAACGTATGTTATTGTGTACTACCTCCATTCTCTTTTATAAGACAGACACATATATCAAGATTCAAACTTTAAAAGTTTTAACCAATAATTTGACTAATAATTTTTAATTATTATGACACAAACTTGATATGGTTAGATTTGTCATTAAATCTACTATCCATCATGAGTTTATAAGTATAAATAATATACAATAAAATAAATATATGGTCAAAGTATAATTTAGAAGACCGTGTTATGTCAAATTGTGCCTTACAAAAGAGAATGGAGGGAGTAACATCTTCTACGTCAACAAAGATAAACATGTGATTTTTTTATAATAGAACAAAGATAAATGGGTGCATGAGATGTCTTAATGAAATGTGTGCTCAAGAAAACAATACTGTAATTATAAGATATATGAGAAATTTTAAGTTCACATGAGACTTTTTTCTTAGGTAAAGAATGTGGAATATAATGTTGTACTTTGGTCAGTCATGAGTAATTCCATCCCGATGAATGGACGATATTATTGTAGTGTGTTTATAGTTATACGCTCTAATACCAGTTTCAATTTATTTTCTATTTTATTTAAAAAATACAATCATGTTGCCTTAGTAGTCAACGGTGGATATAGGAAAAAATGCCTCTCACTGAGATTTCGAGCCAATTCATTTTTATGTTTTCTAATAATTTTAACTATTTATTAAATACTTATTTTTTTACACTTCTTCGTTTAAAAAATATTTTATCATACTTAGGGCATGTTTGGGTCAACGGACTAAAGTTTAGTCCATCATGGGATAAAAACAAGGACTAACTAAAAAAATTATAATGAGTTCTAGACATCAATTAGCCTCTGTTAGTTCTTAATTGTTTTTAGACTATGATTAGTTCATACTTAGTCTTTGTATCTGGCATCTAAAATCCGAACTAAAGTTTTTTTTTCTAGGTGATCCAAACATTCTCTTAGGTCCGAGCACGGAAATTTTGAAGGAGTGAAAAGGTGTAGTGCATAAAAAATAAGAGACAACAGAGACGGAAATAGAAATGTATTTTGAAAAAGATAAATATGTATTGGGAAGTTAAAAGAGAAAGCTTTATTGAGATGCAATTAACTTATATAATACTTATAAAATTCGTCACATTAACGACTTTACATGTGCCATGATACAGAATAAGAATGGATCATACAACTGTTGATTTTTTATTGAACAACAAAATGCACTTGTATAGAAAAAAAAAAAGGATGAATATACGAAGTCTACAAATTCCTCGTTTGCCACGTTAATTTTTATCTGTGAAATCCCGGCATGTCCTCTGGTTTACAAGTACGCGCGCTGCTGCTGTTGGATGGCAGGCAGGTGTCCCTTCTGCTGCAGGCACACCACGGTCTCGTACAAGCTCTTCCTCAGCGGAGTGAACTCCAAGCCCAGATCCCTGAGCCTCTGGTTGGAGAACTTGAACGGCTTCGCCAATGGCTTGCCATCGTCCTCGCACCTGCATCACATCAAAGAGGAGCGCGCGAGATTGTCAGAGCTCATCGCTCGGCCGCGGCGATGACGACAACAGAGGAAGACGAGGAGGAGGGGCGCTCTGTGCTTACTTGGCCGTGACGGGGTACTGCGGGAAGAGGTCCCTGAGCATGGCGACGAGCTGTTCGCGGTGCAGCACGGTGCCGATGCAGAGGTACCGTCCGCACGCGCTGGGGCGCTCGTAGGCGAGGACGTGCGCGCGCGACGTCGCGGACGTCGACGTAGGCGGCGACGGCGTTGGGGATGGAGCGCTTGGTGCCCATGAGGTAGCGCGCGACGTGGTTGGTGCTGAAGTTGAGCGTCTGCTGCAGCATGGGGCCCATGGTCATGCACGGCAGCACCACGGCCAGCTGCAGCCCCGCGCCGCCGCCTCCTCCGTCGCTGTGATCTCCGCCATCATCTTGGCGCAGCAATACAGGTTCTCCGTTCGCTTGCAGAAGTCGTAGTCGCTCCAGCAGGTCTCGTCGAGGACGGTGTCGGGGCTCCGGTTGGGGTCCATGTGGACGGCGCCGTAGGAGGAGGTGAAGACGACGCGGCGCGCACCCTCGTCCGCCGCGACGTTGATGACGTTCCTGGTGCCCTCCACCGCCACCGGCACGAGCTCCTGCAGGCGGGGCGCACGCAAGCAGCGTCAGCAGCAGAGTACATAGCGCATTGCTGTTCAGTCTGAAAATGAAAGAGGTAGCAGCGACGACTGACCGGGTCGTTGGAGACCGGGGAGGCGACGTGGAAGACGCCGTGGCAGCCGGCGAAGGCGGCGTGGAGGGAGTCGCGGTCGAGGACGTCGGCGCGGCACAGGGTGAGGCGCTCCTTGGCGCCCTCCAGAGCCAGCAGGTGCGCGTTCTTGCTGTCCGCTGCATGTCAGCAAGTGCCCGCAAGGCAGAGGTGAGTAGGACAGCAAGTTCTCTGAGCTTGCAGAAGGGCATTGCAGTGCAGGAGATGGTGTGATGTGAGTCAGTCACTCACCAGGGTCCCTCGTAGTTCCCCTGACACGGTAGCCGCGCTGGAGCAGCTCCTTCACCACCCACGAGCCGATGAAGCCGCCGGCGCCGGTCACGCACACCAGCTCCTTCTCCTCACCGCAGTTGGACTTGGACGACATGGTGATCCTGCCCAACAAGTTCCGATGCTCAAGCTGCTAGTGGAATGTGTTTGGAATGGGTCAGTCTCAGTGTGTGTTTGTGCCTCGATCTCTCTCACTCTCTGCTACCCGTCGACAGATGTTGCCTTGTGTGGTGACCCTGGCACGTATGGTATGGTGGCAGCCCGTATTTATACCGCGAGGCGGTGAGCCAAAGAGAAAGAGGTCGTGGTTGGGGGAGGCGCAACTGCGACCGACCTCGCGCGAAGCACCGGGACTCCTCCTCCTCTGTTCATTCAGCGGCGGGGGGCCAGCAGCAGGAGGCGGGTTTCGGTTTCGGAGAATTCAGGGGCGTGGGAGCCGCGTGGTGAGCGCGCAGATGCGGTTGCGGAGGGAGATTCCCTGCTCTGGACGCTGGAGTGTGGACTGCTGAGAATCATCAATCACCAAGGCCAACTTTGGCACGGTCATGCTGTCTTGTTCCTACAGTGCAGTCAAAAACCTTGAGAATATTTTGCTTTTGTCTCCCTAGCCCTGCCGCCGTCGCCGTCGGAACGAAACGGTGGTCCAAGGTGCCAGCAGAGCATGTGTCCGGAAGTGGCATGACTCGCCAGGGCTGACCAACAGACCAAGAGCGTGAACAAAAGAACGAATTCTGGAACAGTGTTATGTTTTTAGTATACCAAGTTTAACCAATTATAGATAAAAAATATAAATATTTATAATATTAAATAAACATCATTAGATTAATTACGAAATGTATATTTATAATAAATTAATTCAAAGCTATAAATTTAAATATTATTTAATAGAAACTTGGTCAAATCTGAAGTCTACACGTATAGCTAGTTGTATTTTTTTAAGACAGAGATAGTACTGCTTTACTTTCCGGGAATGGAAGGGCAGGGCAGGATCAACGGGTGCAGTTGACAGAATTCGAGGCCCACCCCGTGTTTGAGAAGAGAATCGTGGACGGCTACGCCGACGGCTGACGGCTGACCTGACGACAGCGCCGATTTTTTTTATTTTTCAGCCCCTTTTTTGAAAAAATATTCACAAATAGACCCCTGGTGGTTTAATTTTCGTTTATGGACCCTGATCTCGGCGCTATGGCTTTTGGCGTCAAGAAAACACGTCTCGGCACCGTGGCCAATGGCGCCGAGGTCTTGGCGAGGTGTCGGACGTGGCGGTGACCTGGCGCCGACGTGGACAAGGCCTCGGCGCCGAGCTCGGCGCCGTAGATCTTGACACCGATCTGTTACTCTATAGATCTTGACGTTTGAAATGAAACAAGTATAATTGTTCCAAGAAACATGCAACAACACCATTGCGGTTTAGCTGGGTAGGACACTTAGCTCAAAGGCCTGAGTTAGAACCCCGGTAGTCCCAGCCCTGAATCTTTTTTTGCTACATTTTTATAAGCAAAAGAACAAGAAAAATTATTTCGAGAAATATGCTATATCTTAGTTATAATCTAGTTGGTTAGGATACTTGGCTCTAGTATGAGACCTAGGTTCAAATCCAACAGGCAAATTTTGTTTGCTGCATTTATTAATCATTTTTTTTTGCTTACTTAGTTACCACCAAACTTCGTTATTATTAACATGAGAGAACACTATTCACAAATTTGTAATTTGTTTTGGATGAAGGATACATCTCAAGGTGCATTTATTTATATATTATTTAAATCCAAATCCTCCTTATATTATCATAATCATGGATGTATTTATTTATTTATTAGTTTATATACCTTGGTAGTAGTGTTTTTCTCATGAGGGGGAGATCCTCCTCCTATCCTCACCAAACTTAGTTGAACAGTCCAAATGATGATAATATAGAGCTCTTAGTTAATACATTAAGCCCATTCTTCTTGTTAATTCTATTTCATGTAAAATAGGGAGGTATGCAAATTAAAGAGCTCAACACTGAAATAAGGAGGCAAAGAAAATTACACTTACTTAATGTAAAATAAATTATTTTATTTATTTACTCCTTGCCTCGGAAGCCTTCAACTTATATATGATGACAAAAGCCATATGCATGTAAGTAAAAGGACAAGCCAAGCAACAAGGTACGTAATGAATCAAAATCAAATAAAAAATAAATTAAATATACAGTTAATGCAAATAAATATGCAAAATAAAAAACATAACAAATAGAAATATTGTTCTGGACTTTCAAATATCTTGCTTTAAAGGAAGTATGAACCAAGGAACAATAAGTCAATAGAAAGTGTCTAGAAATAAACCTACTGTACAAAATTCTAAACACTGCATGTACCTGATGCCTTGTATACTCCCTGCCTATGAAGTCTACTTTCTGAGCAATCACGACTTGATATTACATCAGGCACCATAGGGTATGTCCACCTTTGAATTACATCTTTGCTCACGGTATCATAACTCCTGAAATTATCAATCCTTGCAGCATACCCAGAGCGTAATTCATGAGTATAGATTTTGTATCCCATAATCTGAAAGAATTGGTAAGGCCGTTACTTTGTTGCAGAACAGGCAAACAGCATATGTTCTTTTTCATAGTGTGGTCAAACAGTAGTGAATTGTCTTACATCGTCAACTAGTAAGCCCTTCACGAAATGACGCCGAAGATGCTGATAATCAAAGTTATCTGTAAAAAGACTTAGGACTTCTGGAGAGCAGATATCAATATAGCAGTCCTGCCAGGTAAGAAATGAAGATGATCAACATAAAACAAGACATACATAAGCAACAATATTAGCAGAAACAGATCAAGAAAAAGAAGATATCAACTGTTGAGCTGTAGAGTTTGAAAGCAAACCTCCATGTCATTATGCAGATGGAGAGTAGGACTATTGGTCAGTATATCCTTATCAATTGTAATATACAAGTGTGAGTTATCTGCCCTGTCCTCGTAATAAAGTAACTCCTTTGTCTCAGGATCTATCGCCATAACAATTTCATCATTACCCAGACGAGTTTGGTGTGTCAGAATAGAAGGTTTTGAATGCTTTATAACCATAGTCATAACAGCAAGTGGGTCCTTTTTCTTCCGGTCCATATGTTCCTGGAGAGCATCCTTCAAGCTCATGTTACTGACCGTATCACCACTGATGAGAACGAAATCTCCGTGTATCTACAATTGAAGGATGGATGCATGAAACAACTGAAACTGCAAATGGAGTTACATGAACATATAAGCATGGTAATGCCTGAGTCCCACTGGATCCACAGAATATTAATCCATAATTATTGTAAAGTTATCACATATCTTAGTGCTTAGGCTTCAGATAAGTTGAGCTAGACTGGAGTCAAGTTTTTCAAAGAGGATGTCAACAAACTAGCAAAACAAGCCAAAACGAAAATAAAAAAGGTGTGTTTATTTTCTATTTAGTAGCTTCAGAAGCAAATTGTATTACTATATATGCTGATTAGGAGAAATGCTACAAACAATTGTCTCTTTCACTGGTGCTATAGGGTGGTTTTGATGCACTCCTGGAGCCCCCTCTACTGAGGCAACCAACATGGAAGACCATTCACACTTTCTTATAAACGAACTGAAACAAGCGACCCAAAATACGACTACCGAGTTCAGTCTCAGACCACCTTGCTATATCAGTTGGGAACCATCAGTAATAAACTCAACGAGAAGATCCAATGTGATAGGCATACAAAAAACTAAAGCTAAAATCAATAATAACGCTGCCATCATAATCCGCAACAGGGAAGCAGGACTGAGCACTCACCACGCCGCGGTCGTAGATGACGCGGAGCGCGTCGCCCGCGCTAATCGCGTCGTGGGACTCGACGGCCGTGACGGCCATGCTCCCGGCCCAGACTTACCAGCCCACCCGGCCTTCTCCAAGTACTCCTTGACCTGGTGCGAGTGCGCGCAGCAGAAGACGAAGGCCTCCTCCACCCCCGCAGACTCCAGCCACGTGAGCGTGTACTCGATCATCGGCATGTGCACCAGCAGCAGCAGCACCTGCGAAGAGACAGCGGCGGAGCAAGAGCTCGTTCAGAGGAGCCGCGAAGCTCGAGCGCCGGTGACGAGATAGTGCTGGTGTGGGATTTGGGAAGCGGGTAGTGCGTCGAGTACCTTGGGGCGCTCGAGGGTGATGGGGCGGAATTTGAGCGTGAAGCTGTCGGCGAGGAGGACCGCCTGGAGTGGGGGAGGGCGCGCGAGGTCGTCATGGCCGTCGCCGGAGGCGGCGGCGCCGCCTCCCCCGCCCCGGTTGCGGGATTTTTTCTGCGACATGATTGCAGCGGGTGCGGCGGCGGAGAGGAGTTCGTAGGTCTGCTCGCTCGCTCGCGTCGTCGGCGTCGCCGTGGGTCGGCGAGTCTGGACTCCGGCTGGATTCTGGATGGGTGGACTGGATCGTAGATGGGCTCTTACAGTTTGGGCTCTTTTTGAGGCCCAAGTTTTCTTTAGGTACACTTGGGCCATTCCAAGTTGGTTTCTTCTCTCTTTTGAGGAACTTGCTGTTTTGTTAGCTGGAATTTGTTTCTTAGGTAGCACACCTATATATAAATCTTCAAAACGAGACGATGCCCAATCACGTATAGCCAAATTTCTCTTCTCTATATTTATATTAGATAGCGTGCCCGTATGTTGTTATGAGACAACTAAATTTTTATACTAAAAACACATGGATCGCACAATAAAATAACAATACTGTGAAATTAAATATCGACGTTAAAGTGACAATTAATCCAAAAAAAATAAAGTTCGTGAAATTAACATAGTCACAAAGAGCGAGGCGTCGGAGTCTCACCAAGTCTACTGTATAGACCT